AAAAAAAAAAAAAAACAAATTATTATCAGAAAATTCCAATAACGTAATCCAATTCGCGCGCGGTAGTCGTATCGTTCGAAATTGAGAAAGGGTAAAGTGAGAAAGTGATTATCGAGAAGAATAATATATGAAAAGGGCAGACACAAAAAAAAAAGAAAGAAAGAAAGAAAGAAAGAGAGAGAGAGAGAGATACTAAAAGGGTGTGATGATACATACGTGTTACGGATTTTATTCTTGAAACTTGTCGACGTTCACGCAAAGACGATTTTATTATTATTTTTTTGTTTTATTCTTTTTTAATCAAACATTCTTATCTATATCTTTTAAGTAACTTATTCATTAATGTATAATATATTTCGTTGATTGGAAAAAAATATTATCCCTTTTATTATGGTTCAATTGGTCTTTTTAAAGTTCACTTATTCGACAATAAGCTTCAAAAAAAGAAAGAGAATATTGTTTTTATTATCTAATTTATAATTCGTTATTATGTACAACCATTTTACGGGGCAGGTGTTCGAAACTTTTCACGAATTACGATAATAATAAGAAGAACATTGATATTTGTAATAAAGAGACAAAAAAAAAAACAAAATAGTATTTGCTTTTCAAACGATCGGGATTCAATTTGTTTTTCTTTTTTTTTTTTTTTTTGATAGAAAAGTTTAAAAAACAAAACGAAACATACTTAAACAATTCGTGATAAAGATTTTTTCTCTTAAATGGAAATAATTATTTCGATAAGATATTTTCTAAGATTTCAATTGAATGTGTCGAAAAGTTCCCAGAAATAAAAAAGAAAAAGAAAAGGGGTTAAAAAGATTTTCTTTATCAATCGAAGTTCGTAAAAAGAAAGGAAAGAAAGGAAAAAAAAAAAAAAAGGACAAAATTCGCTTTTATAGAATTAGCTTTTGGTCGAATAAAGGAAGAAGAAGAAGAAGAAGAAAAAAAAAGAGAGCAATCGATGTTAGGAAAAGAATCTTGTAAGGAAAGTAAAGAAAACGCAGTATGTTAGAAAACACACACATGTGCGTGTGTGTGTATGTGTGATTCTACGTTAGCTATGACGTCAAATGGTGCTGGGGTCAATGCGTGAATGTCGATCTCATTTCGAAGAAGTAGAAGAAGAAGTAGAAGAAGTAGAAGTAGAAGAAAAAGTCGACAAATAGGGCGTCGATGTGAGAAATAGAATGATATAGTAAAGAACATTATATATATATAGATATATATAGATATATATGTATATGCGTATATAAATATATATAGATACGTATATTGGTATGTATATAAGTTAGGTTGTCCCATAAGTTTTGTTCTTATTTTTATTTTTGTTTCGTGACATTTAATTTTTTTACACGCACAATATTTTATATTTAACTGTTATTTAAATTAAAAGAAAACAAAAAAGAAGAAATGCTTGACCGTACGAATTGAAAGATTAGATTTGAGGTTCTATCCTAAATTTAATGATTTTAAGTAAAAATATATAGTTACGAGTAATACGAGTTGAAGAGAGAAATTTTATCGTATGGTGTTGTTTTATCAAAGTTGCGTCATGGTGTCGTCAGAGATTCGTCAAGGTTTTACTTATTGATTTTCACATATAATACAAAATTTATTATCTCTTTTAATTATTATTTTACGATAGATTGTGTAACATAGATCGTACAATAATTATTGTTTAAATAGAATCGTATAATAAATATTGTGCAAGTAAAATTGATTTATTGTTAAAAATTAAAGAGAAATTTTGGAAACAACCTAATATATACCTACATACTATATATATATAATAGATATAGAATTGATAAGTATATATAATAATAATAATAATAATAATAATAATGTGTTAGATGGAACGTAGACGAGTTTAGATCGGTTCATACCAGATCGTAGGCTTGACCTCTCATAGATTGTGGTATAGAACGTGAAAAACGTGATAACGTGATAACGTGAAAAACGAAGGGGGACACAGCTTTGACGGGCCCCTGCTTCGCTTGGAATATTTACCGCACTCTTTACCTGCAGTCCCCATATTGAGAATGCTGATCTCCCCGAAGTATGAACCCGCCTTAAGGGTGGCGAGGACTGTCTTCCCATCATCGGCTACAACCTGGAGCCGACCTCTGTTAACTATGTACATCTCCTTTCCTACCTCACCTGTTCAACATAAATGCGAACACAAACTTTATAATAATAATTTAATATAATTATTAATTTAGCACTAGATTTATACGAATGTTTTGTTTATTATTTTTTTAAAGACTTACAAACATTGTTTGTGAATGAAGAAGTAAGCAGAGTTTGTAAAAATCTAGTGTTAATATAAATTTAGTATATATATAATTATTAATTTAATATAATTTAGTATAATTATATATATATATATATACATTTTTATTTTTTAAGTATATATTACTAAAAAAAATTTGAAAACCGTTAATGTATATATTATTTAGCTAATCTGCAGATTAACTTATTTGCACACATCGTAAACTTACGGAATTAAAAGTTTTTCGGCATTTTATCTATGTAATGTAAACATTAACGGATTTGATATCGTTAAAGTATCGTTAAAGAAGATGTCCCTGCTGTAGAAATAATTTTACGTTAAAGAACAATAAAATAATCCCTTGGTACTAGGTCAGGGTTTCAGAAAATGCGACTGCAAATTTAAATGTACCGCAAATAGGTGTGGCTTTTGTCGTAAAAACCAATTGCTATGTAATTCAAAGTGTCATTAATTTCTCTTTAGATTACATTATTAAGTAAGTATAATTTGATCATACATTTTGCAAATTTATGTTCTTAATTGTATTAATATTTTTAAAACCGTTCGATTATTTCTATTATTGTATTTCTTTTAATTAATCGACGATTGAATTCTATCACAACTAATTTGTTGATCGTTTGATTATATAAGTTTGATTCTTTAGATATCGAAAAATAAATAAATAACATTGTGTTAATTTAAATCTACTGGAAAGTTGCTTGTTGTTACAGGTAATGTACAGATTATCTAAGTAATTTGAGAAATGAAATAATTTTTGATATTTTAACGAATCACTCTAGTTAATCTGCACATTACCTAGATTTCTCCACTTTAGCTGTAACATATATATA